AACTGGTTATGATCTGTACTATTGTAACAATATGGAGGAATTCAATATGGGGAGAGGGCTTAAGGAAGGGTTGGGGGAATCCCAAAGCCTATGAAACTGTGTCATAAAATAAAAAAGTCTGGAACCAACGCCCTCCAAAAAAATCTGATCAGAATCAATATCAGATGTATGACACGATGCAAGCAACAATTCATGCATTCATTAATAAAGTGCTTTATTTCTCAAAAAAAATTTCCTTCAAGTACGTAATTTCACAAGCCCGGATTTAAGTTTTTGCTCATCTTTATTGATGTGTAATTAACAACAGCAACAAAAAAAACTAGGGAGTACTGAGTGATGTTTTGATGTGCAAAGGCGTTGTGAACTGATTTCCAGAATCAAGGTAATTAACACATTCAACAGCCCAGACCTTTCTCCCTTCTGTGTGTGATAACAACTAGGATCTCATCCCTTTGCAAACTGCAGGCATGAACTCTAACAACCTTGCTCTGTATTTGAGCACCGGAATTCATTCATTCTGCATAACTGATACTTTGTACCTTCTATATCTGGCTTATTTCACTTACTGTAATTGCATAAATATTATTTCAATGGGAAGATTTTCCTTGGTATTTTTATTTACATTTTTATTTTTATTTTTGAGAAGTTGTTGATTTCATGGCTCCAAGGATGATAAAATCCCAGGAAGATGTGGCAAAACTTCCATCCTCTGACAAGACAGTTGATGTCCCCTGCCAGCCTAGATGAGCTGGCCATCATGTCTGCCATGTGAATCTGGCATGCTCTCCATTGCACAGGTATCAGCAACTGAGGAGGCCCGGTCCCGATGCATGCACTCCAAGGTTGGACCACGCATCCAGTGATTTTCCATGTGGTTGGGTTCTGAGTCCAGTGGGCCAGTTTGGATGTTCCCAAATAAACCTCACCTGGGGTAACCTTAGATTTTTTCATACGTCAGCCAGTGCAGGGTCATGTGGTGTCTGTCTCCTGTACCAGGAAACTTATATACTGGTGGATGCAGCTGCTTGGTAGCTTCTGCCCAGCTCCATATCTCAACGTGAACCAACAGGTGCTGTTGTCCAGTCTAGCCAGCCCATCACTAACCTGGTTCTCATGTACACCATTAAATATCACAGCCTAGTCAGGGCAACCCTCAATAACCCCAATAATTAGACCTGCCCCCCAACCTATGGGTTGGGCCAGTGGTGAACATAGCTCAGCAGGGTGAGCCCACAGTTCCCCTGCCAGGCAAGTTCCCAGCCTCAGGATCTTGCGCCTGTCAGCGGGTATTGCCATCCAGCCTGACATGACTCATATTCAGTCCTGGCACCTGTCAACTGGTGCTGCAACCTAGCTCTGCTGGCCTGCACCCATTCTGGCTTTCATATCAGCAAGTACAGACGCCTAGCCCAGCCTGGCTCATTCTCAGACCCAGCCCAAATGCTCTAAGATGGGTACTGCAGCTCTGCTGGGACTGACCTATCCCTGATCCCACTCTCATGCTCACCAGTGGAAGCAACGGCCCAGCAGGAGAGTCTCTAAGGTTCCCCTACCAGGCCCACTCCTAGCCCTGGGCCGTGCATGTGCCAGCAGGTGCTGTGGCCCAATCTTAAGATGGCTTACCCCTAGTATCCACATTTGCCCACAAGTGCTACAGCCTGGCTCAGCCCAGCCCACCCTCAGATCAGCTCTCATCAGTGGATGCAGCAACCTAACCCATTCTGGCCCTCTTCCAGCTCTAGCCCTCATGTGAACTGGTGAGTATTTCACTCTAACCCAACCTGACCTTGCACCCCATCTTGGTTCTCATGCATGCCAGCAAGTGCTACAGCCTCGCCCAACCCAGCCTCTCCCCAGACCCAGCCCACATAGATGTTGACAAGTGCTGCATCCTTGCCTGACCTGCCCCCCACCAGCCTCAGCTCTTGTGCTCCCCAACAGAAGCTAAGACCTAGTAGGGAGTTCCCCAGATTCCTCTACCAGGCCTGCTGCCAGCCCCAAACCTCACAAACACTGGCAGGTGTGGCGGCCCTGTTTGGCATGGTCTGCCCTCAGTCCCAGCCTTTGTATGTGCTAGCAGGTACTACAACCAGGCCCTGCTCCACCTTCTCTCGGTCCTAGCTTCCATGAGTGTCAGGTGGGTTCCTGTCAGGTGAGTTCTGTGGTCCAGCCTGGCTCAGCTCTTCCCCACAAATCAGCAGGTGCTGCAATCTCACAGAGGTGAACCCACATGTCTCTTACAGAATCTTTTCCCAGATCTGGTTCTTTTGTGTTCTGGCGGGTGCTGTGGCCCAGCCAGACATGGCCCACCACTCTCTGACCCTTGTGGGCAGGTATACTACAGCCTAGCCCAGTCAGGCATGCCCCTCAGCCCCAGCTTTTGTGTGTACCAGTGGACAGCACATGATGCTATTAGCCCAGCCCAGTTCTACCACATGGGAGGGTGCCTTGGCCTGAACCAGACAGGCCCTCCAATTTCACCCTTTTAAACCACTCCGTCTTAGCTTCTTCATCTACCTGAGTGCAGTGACCCAATCCATGGAAGGCCTCAGAAATCATTCGTCCCCTGACAAACATGCCTGCAGCAGCTCCCACACCAATCCATTCCCAGACCTCCCTGGATTTATCTGTAACCTGCCCCCTCACCTGGGAGCCAAGAGTGCATGTCCTGGCCCAGCATTCCCCATCTTCCCCACATATCTTAAAAAGCAATAACAAGCAATTACGCTGGCATACTAGTATAATTAAACACAAATTTGGCATTGACCAGGCCCAGAATGCCCACCAGCTGCTGGCTGCTTTTCTCCCAGCAGTGTAACACTTGCCTAGGTACAAGGCAACCTAGGCAATTATCTACAGCTTGGGTCCTTCCTATTTAAAGATATATTTATTTGAAAAGCAGAATAACACACACACATATACACACACACGCACATGCGTATGCGTGCAAACAGATCTATCATCTGCCAGCTCACTCCCCAAGTAACGGGCTGGGCCAAGCTGAAGCTCAGGTGCATCCGGCAGCTGGGACAGACGGTTTCCAAGGTCATGGAGCTGGAGCTCCGTGAGCTGTTCTGCAGATGAACCCCCATATGCAGAAGTTCCAAAGCAAGGACCTGGTCATGCCACCTCCCTCCCACCACGGGGAGGGTTGGGGAACCACCTGGCCCAGCTGCTGGCGGCCACCACTGGAGTTTCTGGTGCTCTCCGCCATTGTGGCTTTCAGCCCTGATGCTATTAACCAGGCCGGTCAGAGAGGCCCCAAGCCAGAAACGCATGGTAATCCTGCCATGGGACTTGCTGCCTGGTGCGAAGGCTGAGCAAGGTCCCAGCAGAAGCAGACGGAGCTTCTCACCGCCATGGCTGGTCTCAGCAGATTCCTCAGGTTGTATTCTAATAAGTGATTATTGTCATGCTCTACCTGGTTGGGGTTTCTGTTTTGTTAGAGAATAAATCCTGTAACCTCAGATCAGTTTGCAATCATGTTTTTAAATTTCTGTTGAGTTCCACTGACTGCGTTACGGAAACGATGGATTAAATGAAGTTTTGTAGCGTTTTCCTAAATGATAAGGGTGTCAACCATATATTCAGCACAAAATGTTTTTGCCTGTGTGCGTTCCTAGAACGCATTCCAAATTTATTGTTCAGAAATGTTTTAAAAAAAAAATAAGTTACCAGAATTTCTATAGGTCATAAAATTATAGGTCACTTCCAATGCATGATATTTGCTACAATCCACTAGCAACTTATTCTTCAAACAAACAACAACAAAAAAAATAGGGGCCCGGTGCGGTAACCAAGCAGCTGAAGTCATCACCAGGCACACCAGCAGGGAGCTAGATCAGAAGCACAACATTCAGGGAATTGACCCAGGGCTCTGATACAAAAACAGGGGCTGGGCCCGGCACGATAGCATAACGGTTGAGGTCCTTGCCTTGAATGTACCAGGATCCCATATGGGCGCCAGCAGCTCCACTTCCCATCCTCCCTGCTTGTGGCCTGGGAAAGCAGTTGAGGACAGCCCAAGACCTTGGGACCCTGCACCCGTGTGGGAGACCCAGAAAGAAGTTCCTAGCTCCTGGCTTCAGATCGGCGCAGCACTGGCCATTGTGGTCATTTGGGGAGTGAATCATTGGACGTAAGATCTTCCTCTCTGTTTCTCCTCCTCTCTGTACATCTGCCTTTCCAATAAAATAAATAAATCTTTAAAAAAATAAGTAAATAATAATAATAATAATAATAATAAAAAGGCAGGGGCTGCACCTCAAGGCCTGGCTGCCTACCACAATTTTGAGTTATACAATTCTCTTTGTGATTGCTTGTTGACTGTTCTTCTAACTAGGCTGTAAGTTACATGTGAGCTGGAATGGGGGGAGTGTGCAACCATGTGATGTTTTCCTGATAAATGAAGACATTTTCCATCAGAATCTCATGGTTTGGGGTATCATCATGTAGAGCTGACAAAAGAACAAATGCACTCGTGGACTGTAGTTTCCAAGATGGAAGGCTGGTATGTAGAAAACGACAAATTGTCCATTAAACGTGTACGGTAAATGAAGATGAGCTTAGGAGGTTGGACAAAGGGAAAAGAATGAGTGTGTCTATGGAAAGACGAAAGGGAGAATTTCAGAGAATGATGCTCAAGGGAGGGCTCTCTGAAGAGGGAAGCGTTTGTATAAATGGGAACACAGGGTCTCATGCTTGCCGCGATGTTAGTGACACAAAACAAAAAACGATGGTAGCCTCAGGCTAGGGATTTCTCTACGCCCTGCGCTGGTGCTCACAGCGGAACCATCATCACGGTGGGAAGTTGTCCCCGCGTCGGAACACTGCGTGGAAGGTTCCGACCCCGGAAGGAACACTCTGCTGGAGGAACCTAGAGTGGGGGAGGAACTCTGGTGGGAGCTTAGAGTTACCGTGGCAACGAGACACTCCCGGAAGGCGCTGTGCGGGTGGGGGCAGGGGCGGGGCTTGTGGCGGAAGTTGTCTCTCCAGGTCCTGCAGACCAGGCGAGATGATGTCTCCCGGGTCGTGGCGGCTGTGCGTGCTCCTGTACAACCTGCTGCTGGGGCAGGCGGTGGCCCCAAACCCCGTGGAGCCGTCAGAGGGGAGCCGGCCGTATGCGGTGCTGCGCGGGCAGAACCTCGGTGAGCTGGCCCTGCACTCGTTGGGTGGACAGGGGTAGCCATGGCGGGGGGGGGGGGGGGAGCGCGGTTCTTGGAAGTCCGCGATGTGCGTTGGGATTCGGCGAAGGCCTGGGGCGCCCACCATGCTTCTCCCTCGGTGCTGGCTGCCCCTGTGGGCCCAGGCTGGGCAACAAGTTCGATCCTAACCCGCGCTCCCGTTGCTTGTTCGTGTGCTTGCAAGGGCCCGTGCTCGCAGTAATAACGGTAACCGTGGTTTTAGCACCATCTTAGGAACTTGGGGGGCGTCGGATGGTTTGTGGGTATAGAGACGTCAGGGGCGGACCTCTGAGGACACACCCACTTTGCAGAGGAGCTGTTGAAGTGCGTGGAAAATGGAGTTCCCGTTTTCTCCAGTCTCTAGCAGCATTTTTTTTTTTTTATCTTTTCGGTTGCAGCTGTTCTGTGGTAAGTGATCATTCATTGTGGTGTTCGCTTTCTCTGACAGCTAAGGATGATAATGGAGCGCCTGCATATTTTGGGGCTGGCCATTTGTTTCTTTTAAGAGACGTATAATCAGATCATAAATGCCCACTTTTTCAGTTATGTGGATGTGTGATTCTGCTTTCCACAGAAGTAGCTGCCGTCAGTGGAAGTGTCCTGAAATTCAGCAGCTTGGCATCATTGCAATATCCAAGCAAATCAGAGACCTGAACTCGCTGTCCAGGCACTGCATGCTTTGCAGGTGGTGGGGAATGCATGGTTAGTCACATGGTTAAGTCAGGTGCAAGTGTGGGACAGGCTAGAGATGAAAAAAGCTGGAGAAAAATCACTCTAGCATTCCTGGGCAGCAGGCAGTCTGTCTCCATTTTTACAGAAAAAGGTCGCAGAGCAGCTTTCCTAAGCGCTTAGGAGAGGTCAGACCTTAAGACCCATACCCCGAATTTTGGGCCATTGTATTCTGCCACCTGTCGGGGTTGTAACGGCTGCCATTGATCACATGGTTGTTGCGTGGCCAGCACTGTGGAGCCTTTATTGAAGGTGATCACGCCTCTGTGTGAGCCCCACAAAACCCTAATACAGTGGATTTTGTTTGTTCCAATGGATAGACGCAGAAAATGCGACTCGGGGAGCATCCTAGAAGGCTCCAGCTGGTGCTGGCAGGCATTGAGCCAGGCCCAGACACTTAAACACATAGTCAGTGTGCAGTCGCTTGACCGCGTCGCTTGCCGCTGTTGTGTGAGCCAGGCGGTGAAGTGCAGGCACTTAATCGTCCTCTCCAGCCACCAGGGCACCCACTGTGGTGTACATCCTGTTTCCCAGCTGAGCAACTTGAAGCGTCTCCACATGAGATTGGCTCTCAACAATGTAAAAAGCTGTGAACCGAGTGAGTGCCTGGCTTCCCTAGCCGCAGGGCCCTTGTCAAAGACTCCCATGGACTGGAAGGCTATGATGTATATAGACACGCTTGGGTTCCTGCATCTCTTCCTGCGCCCCCGTGTGGAAGTGGTCCACCCTGCAGCCAGAGGGGTCTTCCTCCTGGCTGTATCTGCTCTCCCGTCACCCTTTCCTGGGGCTTCTCTTTGATCTTGGAGAACCCATGTTTTTGCCCCTTGCTGCCTCGGTGTATGGTCTCTGTTCCTGTTCTGCTTGCGGGGCTCCCCTCCTGGGGCCTGCGGCCCCTCCCTCCCTTGCTTTCTTCAGGGCCTGCTAAGCTATGAGAGGTGCTACTCCTTGCCTTCCTGTGGCAGATCGGAAGACTCCTCAAGAGAGAAAGGGCCCATTCACCACTGTCTGCCTGGCACCTGACCCTGTGCCCGGCCCCATGGGGCTTTTGGCGCGTTTCCGTCAAGGAGGGAGAGATCCCCAGGGCTGCTGTCAGCAAGTAACCTGTTTACCCTTTGCAGTGCTGTTGGGGACCATTTTCAGCGTCCTGCTGGTGGCCATTATCCTCATGGCGTTTTGCGTCTACAAGCCCATCCGGCGCCGGTGACTGCCTTTGGGAACAGCCCACGTGGTGTTGCGCAAGGGCCAGTGGAGAAGTTGGAATCACACCTCGCTGGTGACCTCTAGTGTGGACAGTGGTGAATGCTAAAGGATTTGAAGAAACCTCACCTAGTGATGTTTGTTTGTTTTGTTTCCCCTCTCCCCCATAACACTGCGATGCAGATAACGGCCTTGAGGCTGCTTCTCAGTGCTTCTTGTAATCACTGGTGAGCCTGCAGCTAGCTCCAAGGGTCAGTGGAAGCGCCTGCACAGTACTAACCGCTAACATGCGATATGGCAGCGAGAAGAGGACGAATCGGGTGGATGCAATCCCTGCTTCAGAGCAGCACGGCTGCCAGTGCCTTTCCCCGCAGCCAGTAGACCTACACCGCCTGTCAGAAAGCTGCGTGATCCCTGCAGACTCAGGCCTGCACCCCCACCTGCAGGCACCCCACCCCCGCTACAGTCAGGGTCACATCAGGGAGGCCTGAGGGGAGCGCACCTTCAGCCTGGACAGGAGGGGTTGCTAGTTGACCCAGCAGAGGAAAAAACCCTTCTGAAACACACTGATCTGCCTTGGCCTGCACCTAAGCCTCTGCAGCCAGCCATGGCCTGCAGCTGGAGGCAGCTTTCTCTGCTTGGGCACCTAAGGCGCTCACTGGCATTTCTGGGCCCAAAGTGGCGGGGAGGGCTCAGCTCCCAGAAGTGCACGTCCCCTGTGCAGGCTGGCATTGTGTTTACACAACTTTGAAAATGCTGCTATTAGTTTGCACTGTTGGTTAACTGGATATTTTTTTTTTCCTTCCCCTTATTATTTTCATGCCTGTCAAGTGGTTGTCAGTATTTATTTTAAGAGTGCTAGGTTTAAATTTCTTTGCTACTAAAGCGAGTTGTCCATCTTGTGCTCCATGTAAGCACGGCACACTGATTTATTTAACAACCCGCACTTAATGTGAAATAATTCATGTGCTATACTGTGTTTGACTTCAGGATCTTGTTTGTAAGCTAATGCCACTGAGCCATTGAAATGTTGTGCTCTGTGCTTGTGAGCAAATTGTCAATTAAGATGAAACCTTACAATAAAAAAAGAAAATGAAACCTTACATTCTGTTGATCCTAGTCTTTATTCCCAAATGTTTACAATGCAGTTGTGTGAGGGCGAATGAATCTGAGCTAGTCTCTCAAGGGAGCACCATGAAGTGGAAATTTATTTATTTATTTGATTATTAAAATTTTTATTTGAAAGGTGAAGTTAGAGAAGAGAGAGAGGGAAAGATCTTCCATTCACTGTTCATTCCCCAAATGGCCACAACAGCCAGAACTGAACTGATCTGATCCAAAGCGAGGAGCCAGCCACTTCTACCGGGTCTCTTACATGGGTGCAGGGGCCCAAAGGCTTTGAGCCGTCCTCCACTACTTTTCCCAGCCATAAGCAGGGAGCTGGATCAGCAATGGAGCAGCTGGGACTCGAACTGGCACCCATACGGGATACCAGTGCACTAAGCTGAAGCTTAGCCTGTTATGCGAGGATGCTGGCCCCTGAAGTGACTGACATTCATGTGAAGTACCACTGTCTTAAGGCAGAGTAGTGATGACACCAGGACTGGGAGGCACCGTCAAGCTCTCAGGCCTGGCACAGGAGTCACACGTGGATTCTTGTCCCAGTTCCCTGGAGTCCGATTTCCTTCCTCTGTAAAATCGTGACAACCGCACCTTTTCACTCAGGCCAAGGATATGAAAACAAATGCAAGTGGAGTGACCAAGGCTGGGGTGGTGGGTGAGCAACTTGGGGGGCAGAGCCTCAGATGCCGGCACCAACAGCAGTCACAGAAGTGCACACTCCTCCCTCACCTGAACAAGGCACCGGTGTGCTGCCATGAGGGAGGAAGACCACCGCTTGAAGATTTTGAAAGAAAATGGTGAACACAAGCCAAGCCCATAAACCTCATGACTTGCTATTCCATTAGCCAGCTCCACATTCCAGTTTTCTGAAACAACTTTGCAGTACTGTTGTTCCACATACTAATCCAAAACCCAGTTTACAGCTTCATTCCAACTGTACTGTGTGTTCCATGTGAGATCTCAAGCTAAAGTAAGGCAGGGGGTGATCTTTTTGTATAAAAAGAGATTTATTGCAGAGCCATAGGGACAACAGGCATTGAGAACCAGCTGACTGATCCTCTGCCTGCCAGTTCCAGCATCCCAGTTTGGCACCAGTTCATATTCTAGCTGCTGCACTTCCGATCCATCTTGCTGCTAATGGCTGGGAAAGCAGTAGAGGATGGTTCAAGTCCTTGGGTCCCTGCTCCCATGTGGGAGTTCCAGAAGAAACTTCTGGCTCCTGGCTTCAGCTCAGCTCAGCTCTGGCTGTTGTGGCCATTTGGGAAGTGAACCAGCAGATGGAAGACCTCTGTCTGTCCTCTCTGTAAATCTGCCTTTCAAAAAAAAGGCATTGATTCTGACAAAGAATGATACTGAAAACTTTGATGCAGCTAGTTTGTTTGTTTTGTGGTTTTGTTTTGTGTTGAGACAGATCTCCCATCTGCTGATTCAGTCCTGCAAATGCCTGCAACAGTCAAGTGTAGACCAACCTGAAACCAGGAGCTGGGAACTCAATACAGGTCTCTCGCGTTAAGTGGCAGGGATGCAACTACCTGAGCCGGCACCTTCTGCCTTCTCTAAGTTTGTATTTGCAGGGCTGGAATCAGGAGTGAAGCCAGGATGGCAGGCGTCTTAACCCTTCCACCAGACACCTGCCTCTTGCTCCCAGCTGGTATTTCCAAGTGGAATTACTTTCCTGGCCTTTATCTTTGGGGCTGCAGGGAGAGGTGGTGGCCAAAGCCTAGGCTTCATAACCAAGTTGTACTCAGAATCTCACCCTGTACTCATAACACATCCAGTTGACTTGCAGCCCTCGCGTGAAGAGGAGTTGTTGGGAAACACTCGGCTTGCGATGAGGGGGCTCAAGTCCCATTAGCAGATGATGTTCCCCAGCTGGACCTTGATCTCACCCCTGCGTATATTCCTAAATACAGATCCAGCAGGACTTTGGGTCCTCTCACTTCCTGCAGCACAAAGTCATTTGAAATTCCTTGCCCAGTTCTTCCTTGATGTCACATGTACAGTCAGCCAGGGGCCTGGGGCCAAGCTGATGGTGGTCACTTCCCTTTCCTGTCATCTAGAGCAGGCTTTTTCCGTTTCCTGACATCTTACATTATGGAGGGTGTGGTAAGCTTGTTTACAGAGCAAAGGCTCTGAAGGACACACGGAACCTGGTCACTGGCAGCGTCTTCACAGAGAAGCTGCTCACGTTCAAGTTTCTGGGGTTGTTTTGTGTGGTTGCCGCCTGTGGCGCCAGCATCCCATATGAATGCCAGTTCAAGTCCTGGCTATTCTACTTCTGATTCAGCTCACTGCTAATGTGTCTACAAAAGCAGTGGATGGCCCCAGTGCTTGGGCCCCTTGCACCGCCGTGGGAGACCCGATGAAGCTCTTGGCTTCAGCCTGGCCCAGCCCTGGCCATTGCGGAATGCACTGATGTTTACTTTTCCCCCAGAGGAAAGCAGCTTCTTCACAGCTTCCTAGAAAGGCCGAAACCTCATCTCTGGAATGCAGGTGTGTTGACTGGTCGGTCATTCCTTTTGTTTGAAAGGTGACATCCGGTAGCCTAGTGGCTGGGCTCCTACCCTTGCACATGCTGGGATCCCATATGGGTGCCAGTTTGTGTCCCAGCAGCCCTGTTTCCCATCCTGCTCCCTGCTTGTGGCCTGGGAAAGCAGCAGATGGTCCAAAGCCTTGGGATCCTGCATCCACATGGGAGACTCGGAAGAAGCTCCTGGCTCTGGATTGGCTCAGCTCCAGCCGTTGTGGCCACTTGGGGAGTGAATCAACAGACAGAAGATCATCCTCTCTGTCTCTCCTCCTCTGTATATATGACCTTCCATTAAAAACAGATAAATCTTAAAAAAAAAAAAAAAGTAACATCCTTAGGTGTAAGATGAGCCTGGAAGCCTCTAGGATAGGCTCCTCACCTTTGAATGCTAACTTGATTCCCCCAGAGCCAGTCCCCGGGTAGGAAAGGGGTGCATGGCTTTTAGTTTCCCTGTGAAACAAGGGGCAAAGAGCATGTGGGCCGTTTCCCTTGCACAGGAGGTGGGGAAGAGCAGACTGCCTTCAAGGTAATATACAGCTGAGCAATGCAAAAGCACCCAATATCCTGAAGTAACAGGAAGTGCAGGTGTATCCTGTGACTAGACAAACACCACACGAGAAAGACTCAGAGGCTGGCTGGTTATTGGATGAGCACCCTCTAAGGAAGCAGTCTTTATTCGCATTTTAAGAGAAAACACATACATGAACAACGTTGCAATGGTTTGACACGATGCTCTCCAGGAGAAGCAGAGCTGTGGGAGGCCAACACAGAAGGTACCTATGGTTCACAGGTTGGTGAGCAAATGGCATGACCTAACTGCAGCTGATCCCAAGAAGGGCCTTCGCTCCCGGTAAACACCAAGTAAACAAAATTCTACGCTTGTGTGTCGGCGACGTGGTGGCCATCACCTGTACTGGCCTTCTGTGCGAAGGACTTTTGGTCAGATCGTGACATAAGCGGCAGGAGGAACCAATGGAATTAAGGACGTGGTTTTCAGAAGGTTTTCCTGGCAACGCTAACTGGAGGATACAAACAGTAACTGGGACAATCCTTTTTGGAGTTTTCCCTTCCTGGCCCAAAAGAAGCTCAACGGAGGAGGACACAGACACGGGACAGAGGAGGTTTTTAGTTTCTCAGATGACATCAGTGCAGCCTGCAGGAATGAGTGCGCAGAGGGAGAGGGGCACCGGCCGCCCTCCCCAGGGTCCCGTGGGGGTGGGGTGGGGGGGCGATGGTTATTTACAGGAGGGTTAGACAAAATAGTTAACTACTAAAGGTATCCAAAAAAGGCCTGAGAAAATCTGGTTAAAATGTATAACCTTGTATTGCTACTGATGGGAGTAGTCATTTTATTATTATATCTCTTAAAAATAATAAAAACATTCTGTTAAAAAATATATTTATCCAGAAAGATGTTGATTTGAACTCTAAAAAGCAACGTGGAGTCATCCCTTTCCCTTTTGAATGAAGAGCCCACTGAGCTGTACTTGGGGGGCTCCCCTTCTAGGCTCACATCCAATCCCCCCCTTTCTGGTGGGAGGGGGATCTGCAGCAGTTGCCACCTGTGGCTTCCTTCGAGGACCCCTAGCTGCTCCCTCGGGACAGGATTAGCTGCCTTTGATGTTGCCTGGGGACCCTTGCTCTCCTCGGAGTTGCCTTTACAAATTCAAATCAGACCCATCCCTAGGTAAGTGGAGTGAGGTGGTTTGAAACCATGAGTGATTTTCAAGGCTAAGGCAACGTCCGTAGTCATCTGTGTATCTTCAGTGTGATGCAAACAGTTAACCATAATCTTTAGAGCCTGGACATATCTAACTTGAGCTGCAGGGGAGAGGGGATAGAAGGAATGGAATAACGTGAAGATGGAGCAGGAAGAATGGCAATGTCCTAAAAACCCTGTACAAAGGTAAAAATAAAACGAGTTAGATCGGCACACTCCATTTCTTTGGTGAACAGTGAAGAAGTGTCGCAGCCTCTCACGGACCACACTCCTCAGAGGCGGCGCTGCTGCCATCATAGGTAAAAGCACCCTGACTGCAATGGCGTGTCATCACTCCTTCCTCAGGACGAACCTACAGACCTGCGGGGGCTGGAAGGTGGAGGGAGGGGAGAGTTGTCTAAAGCTGGTAGTTAAGAATGTGACCTGCAAGCCGGTGCAGCTAATGGAAGTGGTGATGTCCTCCCCTAACCTGGAGATGGGGCCTGCCGATCCCTGGACCCTCCTGCACTCTGGAGATGGTCCAGGATGGGCCGGGGAAGTCCCTGGCCCTGCACCTCTGCAGAAAGAAGGAGCAGCTGCTGTCTGCTGCAAACAGGGATGCAGCACCCGCCGGCAGCCCAGAGCCTCTGCTTCGTGCAGCCCGTGGGCAGGAAGATTTACTTGTCGGTGAGTGACAGCTGCAAAACTTGCTGGAGCTCGGCCTCCTCCTCCTGCAGCCGCAGTTCCCGCTCCGCCAGCTCTTTGGCAGACAGCTCCATGGCCAGCTGGAGGTCGCTGTCAAAGCGGCTGCTGTCATTCAGGGTCTCGGGGCACAGGCCCTCCGTGCTGGTGAGAAGGCTCTCCTGGATGGCCCTGGGTCGCAAAACCGCCAAAGACAGAGTCAATACTACCATTACCATGGCAGCAATGGCAACTACACTCTGTACCTCCTCACGAGGTGCACCCCGTGCCAGCCCCTTGACATGCACGATGATGCCCTTTCATCCTATGAAACACTGGGACTGCAGGTGAGAGATACGGGGGGTGAGGGGGAATCTGACACTTGGAAGAAATCAAGAGACCTGGAAAGTAAACCTGGATCTGTTTTAAGGCAAAACCTAGTTTCTTCATCATGACACTCATATATGCCTCAAGAGTAGGAATATGTTGGGGGGCCTGGCACCATGGGTCAACAAACTAACCACCACCCTTGTGTTGCCGGCATCCCATACATGTCCCGGCTGCTCCACTTCTGATGTAGCTGCCTGATTATGGCCTGTGAAAGCAGTGGAGGATGGCTCAAGTCTTTATGACCCTGTATGGGAAGAAATTTCTTGCTCCCAGCTTTGGATTAGCTCAGCTGTGGCGCCTGTAGCCATCTGGGGGCTGAAACAGTGGATGGAAGACCTTTTCTACCTTTCCTTCTCTCTGTGAATCTACCCTTCCAATAAAAATAAATAAATCTTAGGAATATGCTTCAAAAAGCCAGTCTTTACAGTTTTCCCTCTTAAAAAGATGTCCCATTCATCTCTACAGCTCATGCCCAGCAGTGTCATCTGTAAAATGGCATAAAGAGGGCAGTCTGACCCAGGGCCCATGTATGCCTTGGCTCAGGAGTGCCACTGACCTGTGAACTGGTCTGTCTACCCATCCTTAGAAACTTCGTGTCGAGAGTGGAGAGCTGGTTTAATAAGTCAACACCAGCAGGGAAGCAGGAGGGCAGACACCTTAACAGGTCTGCCCTGCCGCTCATGCACCTGTCTGTGTGCCTGAGTCAGTCTCAGCTGAGTCATCAAGAGTCGTGTCACTTACCTCTCATACTGGGCATCGTAAGCGTGTGTCGGGCTGATCCCTCCGTTCGATGCTGGTCCTGAAAACTCCTGGCAAGAGCAAATGTGACGGATGTGAATGCTTCTTGGAAGCACAGGTGAACCCTGACACGTGAGATCATCTCTGACCCATTTCCGATAGCACTGTGGAAAACTGACAGAGACTGGGCATATCTTGAAGTGACAACTCTCAGTTGGTATGTGGCCTTACCGTACAGCATAGGGTGTCTGATGGACAGACACAGCTTCTCATACCTTACACAAAATCTGGTTAGCAGAAACAGCCAACTTTGGGCACAGCTGAAATGACCAAAGCAGATAATTCTAAGGAAAGGCTAGAAGATGCAATGCAGTCTTTGTCATCTTTGGGTATTCCCCTTGTCAAAACTTGGGGGTCAGTGAGGTTTATAAACACGATAGGGAGAAAGCTATGGTCAGTCAACCAGGAGAGAAATGGATTGCCTAAGGGACACACCAGATCCCATCCTACACCCACAAGAGGGAGGGATGGGAGGAGCTCATGTCGGGGGTGGGGTTGGGCGAGTGCGGGGGTGGACGAGGTCCTCAAGCCTGGGATGGTGGCAGCAAGCGATGCCTGGAGGAAACCCATGGAGTGTGACAGAGCAATAAAAGTGACAGACTGCACATCCACTGCCCACGTGGGGAGGGGGCTGGGATTCAAATTCATCAGAGGCTGCAGCACACAGTATGATGGGCACATTAGCCTGCAATGATGGCTTCTGGATTCAGTTAGAAGCCCCTAAACACATGGCTATTAACTATCCAGCTAATACATGTCTTCAAAGACACCTTGTAAATGGTGCTGACTTGGTTATGCAGATGGTCTCTGACGTAAGAAGCTTCTATAAATAAAAGGCCAGGTACTTAAAATATAATCTGGGGCCAGTATTGTAGGGCAGAGCTGGTCAAGCCACAACCTATAACACTGGCATCCCATACAGGGGGCTCTTTTGAATCCCAGCTACTTCACTTCAAGAACAACTTCCTGCTCATCTGTGTGGGAAAGCAGTGAAGGATGGCCTGAGTGCCTGAGTCCTTGCCACTGATGGGGCCTCCCTGTCCTCCATGTGGGAGACCCACAGGCAGTTCCTGTCATCAGCTTGGCCCAGAGTTGATCACCATGGCCATCTGGAGAATAAACCGTTACTCCTTCCCAAATATATATACTTTTTATATGTTTACATGAATATGTAAATACATATGCCAACTTATTGTTTCAGTTAAGTCTTTCCACTTGGACAAAATCCAAACCGAGGGTGTTAGTCCTCCCAGGCCCCGTCACTCATACTCATACAGCACCTGGCTCCGGCTGGACTCCAGCAGGCTCTGCTGGATGGCGAACTGCATAATCTCATAGTCCTCGTCTTGCAGATGTATGTTTCTGCCATTGTCTTGGACACGGTAGGATTCGGGAATTTCAAACACAGATTGGTCAACCTCGAAGTTGCTAACTCGGGCACCTGCAACATCAAAGGAGACGGCCCAGCTCACGACAGGACGGTTCTACTCCAACTGCTGCAGATATTTACTTATTTTTTTTTTTAAAAAAAAGGACCCAAAGGATAATAAACAAGGTTTGCTAGTATATGAGATCTGGAGGCTCTGTGACAGAAAGTATCGGAACACAACACTGTGACTTCTCTTCCTATTCCTATTCTCTTCTTTCTAGACTCCAGAAGTAGCCAGAGTTTGTGCTCCCTCTGAGGAACGCCTTGTGTATGTGTGAGTGGGTGTGCGAGGGAGTCTGGGGTGTAGGGAAGGTGATACAGATGTATGATGTTGGTCAAAATGCACTGAACTGATATTGAATGCATCACATTATTAATCAATTATGTCCGAATATCCTATATGTGAGACACCAATGAGGACTTAGTGCGCACCCGCACACACACACACACACACACACAATGCCACTTACAGAGATTTTGAAGTAAATATTATGTTATTCAAACACAGAACTGAAGACCTGGGACTTAGTTGGTTAAAAAATAAGCACTTTGTGATATGTACCTTAGTTGATTCTTAAAGCTCCTCTGCCTTTTTTAACACAAAGAGGGATCAGAGAGCTTCTCAATTCTGCAGAAAACGTGTGCATCTTTTCATTTCTTCCAGCTCCATGAAGCTCTGTCGGACATATTCTACTGGCTGTTTTGTTTTGCTTCATCTACACTAATTTTGATATTTTCTTTCTTCTAACATAAAGGCCTCATGCATAAGATACTCTAATTTCAAACTGAGTAATAAAATAAATGACTGTATATATTTTTCTTAATTGCCAAACACTGGTTTTACCGGAATCAGCCTGGGTCCCTTCCACGTTCTGAGATGGAGATTCTTCGGCCGTGCTGCAGCCATTCACGTTGCCAAATGTAATCCGTGCGTTTAGGACATGGAACAAGGGAATTTCTAACAAAATAAGCGTGTTTATAAGTAAACGTTACGAGGAGATTCAGAGCCATTACCTGCTGAGTGCCTACTAGGCTAATACCATGCTGTGCCCATTCTGCAAGTGTGACATCATTCCGTCCCCATAACAGCCCTCCCCATGTACAAATGAGAAACAGATTCAGAGTCAAACGCCATCTTCTCAAACACAGAGAGTGAGGCACTGAACCAGCATTCAAGTGTCATGAGCGCACACCCTTGACAATTAAGATTCCTCTGAGTCATAAAGAGAACTGTTGGGCTGCTACTTGGGCATCTCAGGGTAAGCCACTGGCTACAGCACCATATTGGTGCCGGTTTGAGTCCTAGCAGCTCTACTTCCGTTCAGCTCCCTGGTTATGTGCCTGGGAAAGCAGTAGAAGATTGCCCAGGTGTTTGGGCCTCTGCCCACATGTGCGAGACCTGGATGAAGTTTCTGGTTCCTAGCATTGGCCTGGGCCAACTGGGGACTGAACCAGCAGGTGGAAAATTTCTCTGCCTCTCCTCCTCTTCTCTCTTTCTCTTGGCTAGAGATCTCCCAATTTTGACTTGTAAAGTGAACAAAGAATCATGACAGTTCTTTAAGACAGATTAAACCAGAAGGTAATTCTGGCCTGCTCCACTGTGTCTACTGAATGCCGCTTTGTGCCTCAAGTATTCCAGTGCCCCCAAACACATCCTGTCACCCATGAAAACAGTTCCACCTGAGGAGTACTGGGGAGTACCTATCTTGACAGGAAATCCCGGAGGGAATTCCAGCTTGATGAAGTCTCTTAGCCTGGCGAAGTGAGCGCTGGTCCGGGCCATCAGGTCAATGATGGGAATGACCTGCTGCACGAGAGACAGGGGGAACTCCTCACACATCCACAGCATCGCTTTAAACCTGCGGGGTGCCACAAGAAAAAGCTGGGGCCGTCTCCGCCAGGGGCTGGGAGGAGAGCCTGCTCTGCCTCCCTCCAGCCTCCCTGGCTCTCTTGAATTCTGAGCTATGGAGGTGCTAGAACTGTGGGACTTCAGGCTGCTCTGCAATCTGACAGTGGGAAAATGGCCTGCATTACAATATACAGAGGCAGCAGCTTTACCTGAGAGCAAGCAAGAAGTAGGTTGTGGACACCGCAGCTATCTGAGCTGGTGAGCAATAAATAAGGAATTCTTACCTCCCAGCTATATCCTGCTTGAAAAGGGCCAAGGAGGTGGGCCACCAACTTGGTGTTTGCAGATTCAGTCATTTAAAAATTATTTTTCCTGTGGGAGTTTAGTGCAGCAGTTGGCTCGCTGTGTGGGAGCCCTACGTCTCATGTTGGGAGTGCCGGGTTCAAGTCCCAGGACCTCTGTTTCTGATCCAGCTTCCTGCTAGCTCCCATCCAGGAGCCAGTAGATGGATGGCTTAAGTTCTTGGTTCCTGACTCTGCCTGGCCCAGTCCTGGCTATTGTGGGCATTTGGAAAATACACCAGCAGATGGAGGATCTCTTTTTCTCTGTCCCTCTTTGTTTCTCTGTCTCTCTGCCTTTCAAATAAGATGGACACAAATTTCTAAAGTACATACATCTTAAAGAGAAGGGGCAGAGCAATGACTGAATTTCACATCATGTGATCAAACAGTGTGACTTCTGAGATAGCCCCTAACCTGCACATAGCAGTTGGACCTCTCTTACTTTTGTGTTCTAATTGTCAGCTCCTTCGGCCTTCCAATGTCCCTGTCCTTTAGGTCAAACTCCTCATCGAAGTACTCATCAGGCGTGATGGCTGTCGGGTTGTTGGCGGTGGCACACTCCGTGGTGAGGTCCTGCTGGGGACAGAACTCAGTCAGAATGCCACAGCCCCTACCAGATCCAGTCTCTGAGGTAGGTGGCCACGCTAAACAACTATGGAACACCAAGTTCCTAGCAGTACCCTTTGTGAATTAAGTGACCACACAGAACATCTGGAAAGCTGGTCTCAAACTATCTGGCAAGCCTTTGGATGTCTCTACTGTAATATATATCCCTAGCTCTCCTTCGCATGTTTACCTCCAAATTACAGAAAAGGGGGAAGGAGGAAGACAGGGGTAAGGGAGTTATGAAAGATTTGGAGTTTACTCTCCAGCCCTGCCCTTTTCTGGCTTGGGTTTGAGCAGGGCCATTTCATCTTTCTGACTCACAAGCATCCACTGTATGGAATCCATGCAGTTACCGTGAGGCCCCAGTAGGGTGCTCTGTTAGAATTACAATAAAAAGTCTTGGTTCCCAAGTTCCAATGTTATAGAGATGCCCTAGTTAAAATGAGTGGAGATAATGTGTTAGACTTCTAGAATCCCCACCACCACTTCTAAAAGCTTTCCTTTCAGAAAGCCTCTCCATTTAATCTTCCTCTGATTGAATCCACCCAGTTCTGGCTTGGGTGTACTGATCCTGCCCCAGTAAATGACCTGTGCAGGGCCCAGTAGATGCCAGCACAAGAACAGGGAAGTCATCTCCTTTCCCCAAACTGCACCAAGACCTTGGGCCTTTAACTTACCCCTTGTGCACCAAACTGGTGTTCCACTGTTCCCAACAAAGATTCCAAAGGATTCCTGTCCGCTACAGAAGGGGAAAAAGTTCAGTGTGTGACCTTGCATCTGACTTGTGGCTACAGAATTATACATCCCGTCTTTAAAAGTCTCTGATCTAAGCCACCTGCATGAATGAATCCATTTATGGACAGACTGATAAAGTCATCCATCCACAAAAACACTAAGCCGATTCAGCCATGTGCTTTTGACTTGGGCACTCAGAATCAGAGTAACAGCTACGAAATAAGGCAGAATAGTGGCAAGAGCCAGGATTTAGGATCCTGATCCTGCCTTGACCTGTGTGTGTTCTGGACCTCAGCACCACCCATCACACTGGAGTCATGGTAACTAACACCCCTACCAGGTTCCCGCCCCACCACACACAGACACACACACGCACGCACTGTGAGTACTGTTCTGTAGGGTTGCAGGTAGAACTCGCCTGACCCTCCCAGGAAATCTGAAGGATTCACCATGAAGGAAATCCAGAGGCCCAGCGGGTGACTGCCTTTCCAGGGCCACAGGGCTGGGAGAGCTGCCGCACGGCAGGCACATGCTAGCACCAGGCAGCTCAGTGCTCACTGTGCATCAGAATGGGACTGCGTCGCTCATCACAGTGATAAACGGCCTCTAGTGTCCTTCTCTACATCTCTCTCTTTTTTTTTTTTTTTTGCTAAATCCAGCAAAGTATTCTTCATAAACACGAATGGCTTTAATTACAGCTGCAGCCAAATGGGGAAACCTCTCCCAGAAATGAGTCAGATGAAGGACGTTTTTATATAAAAGGAGGTAGGGTAACCCTCAGCTCTCTGGGGCGGACAAAGGCAGGAGGGTGGCGGGGGTGATTACCTTTGTATCGCTTTTTCTCCTCCTCCGTCAGGTGTTCTGTGCGTATTTTGGTTATCACACTCACGTTGTTCACTGTGTAAACCTTGAGAGACGTGTGTAAAGGAAAACAGTGACACGGGGAAATCAAAACTCGCAACATATGCATAGCAAGAGCAAGAATGCTGAAGCAAAAGGAAAAAAAAAATCAGCAAAATAAAAATGAGAAATGGTTAACAATCATGAGGCTCCTTCAGGGATAATTATAAGCTACCAACTTTTAGCAATGCATCAGCAGTGACTTTCCCTCTCTGACAGTTTTAACAGGAAGAGGAAGATCTGCCACTGACAGCTGTGTCTTCTGCCTACCCCTTTTGTTGCTGAGCTCAAACGCCTTGCAATTCAGGCAGCCCACCTGGGTTTCTCTTGTACTAAGGGACCCCCAAACCTCTATCATGCACTTCTACTGATGCGTGGGGGAATCGTGTAAGAGCTCCAACAGCCACCTAACCTGGCACAAAGAAGAACACAGGCTCTGTAGGCCTGTGAGATTTCTGAAAAAACAGGCAAGTCACTACTGCAAAGGGGCATTTCCTGTAGGACCAAAACAAAAGCCCTGTAACTGCCAGAATGTGCGTTCTATTGATCACCAAGGACAACAGAGAAGGACGGTGGGCTGGGAAATCAAGTACAGGCGTGAACATAGAGCTGACTGTATGTACCAGACGGGGACGCCCAATGCTCAGAACTGCAGAAAGGGCATACTTGGCGCCAGGGTGACTGTGGCTCAATGCGTCCTGCTGAACGTTGATTTCAGCTTTTGCTGCTCTTGCAGAGGCCACTAGGGGACTCTGCAGCATCTGGCTCCACCGCTGCAGGCAGGACTGCAGAGCTAAGCAAAGGCTAGCAAAGGGAGTCTTCCAGCCAACCAAATGCCAGGGGACTTGATGCACAGACTGCCATCTCCACTATCACAAGCATGAGGTCATGTGAATGGGCTGGGAGCCTGCTGGTTACACTCAGGCCCCTCCAAAACAGTGGAGGTGCATAAGAGCTGCTAAGTCATCTTTTTAAAAAAAGGTAAGTAAGTGTTTAAACTCCAATCCATTCGCTTTTTTAATTAAAAGAATGACTGGCTTGGCTGGCATTTCTGCTGGGACTACTGGTACCTGTACTCATTTCTCTACAACACTGCTTCCCTTTGGCATGGCTAGAGACCTCCTCGGGGACATGCCACCTCATGTTCTCAAAGTCCAATGTGCTAAGAAGTCCAAGTGAGAGACACAGACAGGACTCATCCCCCGAGCATCTCCATGGCATAGATGCATGAGAAACATCTCAACAGATCCCTCATTTGCACAGAAGCTACAGAGCTGAATTAAATCTTAAGAGTTGCCTTTTACCTTTGCTTCGTAACCATTAACAACTTCTGCTTTATCTGTCCTCCAGCCCCAGAATCCGGATTTAGTTCTGATAAAAAGTGAACACCACAAATTGCTACATGTACAATATGCCATTCAGATCCATCCCTGCAGCCTTTATTGCTTTTTCCCCCCCAGTTTAAGTCAGTGAAGGACACTTGGAAATCGGGTCCTATTGTCCTCGAAAGGATACTTGCAATGACAGATGGCTTAGGCACCCCCCACCCCCACCCACAGTTATTAATCAATTAGCCTCACTCCAGGCACAGAAAGCCTCAACTCTTGGCGGCTTTACAAAAACTGCTAGCATTGGGGACAAAGGTGGCGACGTTTATTGGACAGCTGTCTTCAAGCAGTGATTGAAGATGACCAAGGTCCAAGGCAGGTCGGGTGACAGCGTTTATCTGGGGCATCTGAACTGTGGGCCAGGGTGTCAGCTGCCCTGGCTCCACAAGCAGCTACCTCTCCATCAAGGCATCTTAAAACAAAGAAGCATGGACCAGGTGACTCCTGGGAAGGGAATGGTGGGGCAGTGACTCCTCGCTGTGGCTGTGGCGAGCTGCTCAAAGAAGTCACGACCGCCTGCAGATAGCCTTGGAAGCCTGCGTGTGTTGGGTCTGATGCGGCAAGACAAGACTGTTTGTGGCACTTTGTCAGACCAGCAGCTGATTCCAGTCCCAAGCACCAGCATTCCAGCCACAGCTGCAGGGCTAGAAATGGGCCCCACAACCTGGTCATTCCACTCAGCATACTCCTGAGAAAATGGCCTTCAGGAACCAGGCAGGCACAGCCACGAGCTCTGCTGGGGTTCTCAAAGCACCTGGGAGATGGTCCCAGCCAGCAGGGAGCCCTGCCCAGTCCTGCCCTTTGTCTAGAGCATCACACCCTAAGCTCCACACGACCCCGTGCAGGCCAGCTCTGACCTGAGTGAGGCAGGAGGCGACAGGAACCAGTGACAGGTTAGCTGCAGTCACGGGGAACAGATGTGCTCATTTGCATGTTGTGGATCTACACGGTGGCCTTTGCGTCTAATGGGATTTGGCAGATGAGATCAGTCCAGATGGGGCATGAGGCATTGTCTGTGTGTATTTCAGCCGGGAAAGCAGAGAGCCCAGAGCTGCAATCATCCTTAGTTGTCTACCATTAGTGCAACATGACCCCACAGGAGAGAAAGGAATCCTGAGGGAACTGCACCAAATGCTAGCTTTTTCCAATGGACACTTTAGAAACAAAATACCAGACATGAGGGCAGGAGGTCAGAGACCCCCACCTGGCTGTTCAGTAAGCCACAGCCCCCCATTAGTCACTGATTGTTGAGGCTCAGAATGGTTAACAAATTTCATGCTCAACTGCTTGGCTTTGCCTAAGCCATTTGAGGTTCATTCGGTTGGTTGGTTGGTTGGTTGGTTGGTTTAGGGGGGAGGGGGAAAGTCCTAGTTTTCTGGCACTTCTGTAGTCTTCTAAGGGACTCAAGGATGGTGCCACGTGTTCCCCTTGCCCCTCATATATGTCAAGAAGGCAGAGCTGCACTTTGCTCCCTGGGATCAGCTAAGCACCTCACAGCATCTTCCTCTGCTCTGTAGCAATCCTGGCTGCCTCCTGCCTTCTGCATTTCTACTCTCTGCCAGCATTTTGGTTTCTAATTTCTGTGTCTGCACACTGCCTTAAAACCAAGACCCTTAAGCTGCCTTGGCTCCAGATGGGCTCTGTTTGCAGAGGCTGCTGGGGACAATGGCTTCCCTCTTGTGCCATCTTCAGCTCTGCCCATCTCCTCCATGGGGACCCCAAGCACCAAAGACCACTCAGCAGGTCTCCGTCCTCGTGGCTGCTACACTGTGTGGGCAAAGCTGTGAGGGTGGCTGGGATGTTGTCTTTGAGGTGGGCAGAGCAGAATCTTCCACAGAAGAGAAGAGAAAAATCCAAACTACAGTCAGAAACCACATAGTGCAGGGCAAAAATTCCTTAGGGAATTGTATTAATTCACACAAGTATGAGGCTTCAAGGCACAGCTGAGAAGGAATGGACAAAAGTGACTGTCAGGATCGGGGAGAGCCACACCCTACAAATTCAATCTGACAGCCACTAACACCTCTGGTTGGAGGTAGAGGTGTACACTTTCTGTAGCAGCAAACCTCACCCTAGAGTGTGCCTCAAGTCCTTGCTCCCACATGTGAGTTCCATAAAAAAAAAAAAAGTGGCTATCTTCCAGAAATTCTCAGTAAGCCAAGGAAAGTTGGCTTGAACCATCTGAAACCCCTGGGACCAAACACACGGTATGCCTTCCTCCTCAACACAAATGGAATGTGCCGTATCTTACCCATCAGCGCATTGTGGGATAGAGGACTTGGGCAGCTCTGCCTGTGAGCCACATCCCTCCCCATGATGTCCTGGAGGCAAGGACTTCAGGAACTGTCTCTCGACATGACTATTGCTTATCTTCCTCTAAGAAAGCAAGCTGGTGGGACAGAGCTGCTTGCCCAAAGTCGCAGAGTTACCAAGCAGCCCCATAAAGGCACCCAGTTCTTCCTACTCTCCTTACTGGTAAGTCATAGCAGTATGCCCATCTTGAGCACAGAGGCCCTGGCTGATCATGTCCCCTCTGCCTACAGAGGCACACACTGAAGGCTGGACAGGTCTTCCCAGGAGCCTCCCAAGGAAAGCCATGATGAAAGGGCTACCCAGCACTCAGCGGGCACCTGGGTCTTACAGCTTTTTCCACTGCTACAGTGCCCTGGCTGCACAGAGTTGTATAAATAGGAGGAAAGGGGCCCTTTAAATCAGAGTAACCACTTAATGTTCTATCAGAAGTGAAGAGAGAAAGAGAGCGGACATCACATTCCCTAATAGCCAAGCAAACCTGCCTTCAGGGATAGATATCTGTCTTAGATGAGGTTGTACTGCTGTGGTTTGCAGAGCACTGGATGTGACATCCTGGGCAAATACAAAGGGCTCTTGTGGACCGCCTCTGTATAGTGTGTCCCATGGTAGGAACACGTCAACCACAGGCTGTGACCGCCTCTGCTCCCTGAAGGATCAGAGACCCTCAAGGCCCATGCTGTGGCCTGGTGGGGGAGATGGCCAGTGACAGCATTAACCAAGGCTCTGTCTCACCAAAGAACTTCCCTCTGAGTCTGCAACACAACTCTAGGACCCCTCCAGATGCTCACCACAGGGCTCACAGGCGGCCAGAAGTATGATTAGCTGTGCAGTGTGTGTCTTAGAATAACAGCATCTGTACAACTGAATTCAGTAGTGGGTCAGTTCTGGCTTCTGGAAATCAGAGCTCTTAAGTGTGGGACGAGGGAGGGTTGTGGACCCACAGACACCAAAGCCAACATCAGAGTCAAGTAAAACCCACTAGAGAGGGCCATCAAAGAATAGGAAAGACAATTCTCCAAGACTTGGCCAGAGTGCAGTAAAAATGCAGCTGACAAATAGCTGCTCTTTTGTTACAGATCAAATCTTAAAAACCCCTAGCGTTTATTATATAGGCATAAAAAGAAAAAACCCAATCCACAGATAACTCCAGTTACTGCACACCGCATATCATTAAAGATGGCACTATGGGACAAGAAGTTAACATTGAGAGTCTGAGTTCATACCTTTCGAAAGCGATATTTTTAGTATCGAGGCTGGTGTTAATGACCGGGCTCGTGAGCCGCCTCTCAACTTCCCTGCTTTTTGGCTTCATCAGGTCTAGAGTGAGGCGCTCCATTTCTTGGGAAAGGTCGAAGTGTTCGGTGGTGACCACTTTATCATCATGGTTGACTTCCATGAGCTCTGCCCAGTTGTCTATGTGGTAGAAACGAGGGAGGAGCTAAGTGCAATGCAAAGACAGGGAGCTTTCCTACCCTACAATGCATCTCCTTCTCACACTTCTTCCCAGGTGCTGTCTGGTCCAACCCAGAGTACCGACTATCACTCACCTGGCTGTACAGGATTTTCTAGCCAGCTTCCCACCATTCTTGAGAGACTATGAGCCATCTTTCCCCAAAGTTGTAGAATTTTGTTTTCTTTTTGGTATCCTTTGTTAGCAACACATTTCACTTATGTCCTTTAAGAATTAGCATTCATGGGCCCAGTGCAGTAACCTAGTGGCTAAAGTCCTCATTTTGCATGCCCTGAGATCCCCTATGGGCACTAGTTCGTGTCCCGGCTGCCCCACTTCCCATCCGACTCCCTGCTTGTGCCCTGGGAAAGCTGTTGAGGATGGCCCAAAGTCTTGGGATCTTGTACCCTTAAGGGAGACTCAGAGGAAACTCCTGGCTCCTGGCTTTGGATTGGCTCAGCTCCAGGCACTGTAGCCACCTGAGGAGTGAACTATCAGATGGAAGATAGTTCTCTCTGTCTCTCTTTCTCTCTGTATATCTGACTTTACAATAAAAAATAATCTTAAAAAAAAAAAAAAAGAATTAACACTCATCATGAACACAACACACCCCACTGGGTGAGCAGTGCCATTTCTTTCTCTTTGGGCTCCTGATTACTGAGGAGATGCAGGACTGAAGACCTGGACTGCAAGGTTCAGGGAATGAGACAGGCCTGTGTCATAGGGAACAGGGTTGGAAGGAGGATGACATGTGCCAGACAGGTAGCCAGGAAAGAACTATGACAGGGAGAAAGCTAACAGGAAGAACCAAAAGCCATGCCCTAGATTGGAGGAGACAAAGAAGACACAAGGATGTGAATGTACTGTGATGGTTCAAGGTCGCCCTGTCATTTAGCCTGAGCAGTGATAATGACATCGGAATTACTCACCTTCTCCCTTAAATATAAAACTTCGCCTCCCTCGGATCCAGCTCATGTTTTCAAATCCCAGCAATGTGATATCGACGCGCAGTTTGGCACCACTTTTCCAAATCCGACACACATCATTAGGGCATATCCTGGAGACCAGGGGCACTGGGGAGAGAAGTGTACCACTGAGAGCAGCGGAACTCTCAGCCCGGAGAGCTGGGTGCTGGGCTTTCACAGAAGGAGGAAGGCAGCAACAAGGCGACTGGCGGATAGGACTAGACTTCCAGCTCCCACTTACTACTCACCAAGTCCCTCTTACAAAACACAACTGTACCTTCTGTTCCATTCGTCAGCGGGAACTCCCAACAAGTTTCCCAAGAGAAGTCTCCATCCGGAAATGAACTCCACTCCTTGCTTCCCACCAGGGCTATCGAGCGTGCCCATATGGCCTTTTAGACTCACAGATGCTACTCCCACCCACAGAGCTGCACCCTTCTACAAGGTCATGGTCACCCTTCAAAGTCCCAAATCCCAAAGTCCACTGCTAGTTAACAAAACCCGAAGCCACAGTGGCGGTTCACATCAGGAAGCAGGTCTCTGGGGTCCCAGAACTTTCTGAGTTTCTTCTTCCCTCATGGACATGTTTCATTACAAACGGGGTCTTTCTGCCTGGAAGTGAAGGTGACTGAGGCCGTGAGAGGCAGGGGTTATCAGGAACCAACACAGTAAGAAAAGAATGTCTACAGAAGGCAGACTGCCAGGCAACTCCCTTACGGTAACATCAGGAGAAATACAGCCATTTTGTGAAGAACAAGCTCTTTGTGAGAGTCACCTCAGCTTCTTTCTTAGAGTAATGGGTCTACCAGAACAGTGCTGAACTGCATGTGGAAACGAGCACCCTGCGGGAGCTGTACTCTGAGATGTATGCAATGTCAGGCGACATTTTGAAAGCCGATGATACAGACAACTGTCAGCTGAGAGCAATGACAGATGGCTGCTTTCTGTGCTTATGGGAGCTTGGGGCAAAGGGCTCCGGCAGGTGGGAAGGACAAGAACGCTCAGAGTACGGACAGCAGGTGCTTAGGCCGGGCTTGGCAGGGGCTGCCTTTCCTCATTCTTCTCTGTGTGTCTTCAAGATTCATTTTTTACAAATGCATGTAAGGGTTCTAAGAGGAAAAAGAAACCAGCATTCTGGTTGGGTTAAGGCAGAAAGAGAAATAAATTTGAAACCCACAGGCACTCACCCCAGCTGGTGAACTCCCATTTCATCTGCACATAGAAGTCCGGGGCCTAAGGAGCAGAGGTGGAAAACAGATTGGTGCTGTTAGCTAAACACAAACGTAGCTAAGCCATGCCCAATATCTTCATTTCCCATGTACTGTAATGGAACCTTCCATGAGATGTGGGGTGATGGTACGTATTGTTAAGAGTAGGGTTGTATTTATGTGTATGCAAAGATAACTGTGGGAGGAACTACAAATATCATTTTGTCCATTTGACAAAGCAGAAATGACTTAAACGCCCATGGAATCGCCCTTCATTTAAACAAAATCTACTATAAAGGATTTTGCTCCCCACCTGTATTGATTCACAGCAGCAGGCTACATGGAATGTATTCTAGATTAGAAGCTCTACACGGCCCATAAATGATGTGTAGACTTGGGTGGCACTAGATGCTGTTGTGGATGTCTGGCCTTAGAACATTGTCTCCTTATAGTACACACCAGCCTTTCTTATCAGCCCTCTCTTGGTTGAGATTTATTTGTTTTTCTTGAACAGAGAGAGAGATGGATGGACAAACAGCTTCCATCTAATATTTTATTTCCCAAATGCCCCCAGTAGCCAGTGCTCAGCCAGGCCAATGCCAGGAAGCAGGAACTCCAACCCAGTCTCCCCTACTGGTGGCAGGGACCTGGGTACTTGGGCCATCATTTGCTGCCTTCCTGCATGGCACCTTACCAGGGTGTGGATTGGATCCGAAGTGGAGTGGATATGACTTGAGCCGGGCATCCCAAATGGGATGCAGGCATCCCAAGTGCTAACTTAACCTGCTTCACCATAATGCCCGCCCCTTAAATCATCACTCTTTAAATAGCATCTAGAAGGATTTAATCCCAGTGACGTGAAACATGATTTGTGAAAGACCCCAACAATGAGTTGGAAAGATGAGAAGTGATGCTGTTTGGTGCTCAGGCCCTACAGGCTGCTCACGACACACTGAAGCAAGGCACACCCAGCACAGCTGTCACATGGTGTTCCCTGCTACTGTAACGCCGCCACTTTGCTCAAGTCCTGGCAGGAGACACACGCTTGCGGGTACCTCGAGAATCTTGTGCAACAACTCAGGAACTCCCTCGAGGGCCATGGAGGTGTTGTGGTAGTCTCGATGCTGAAGAACCGTGTACACCATCTCAGGGTCGCCCGTGCTCACGGCCTCGTGTAAAACTGGAAGACAAGAGGAGGCACCCGCTAGTCACTGAGAACGCTCCTACTTCCTGACAAAACCTTAGAGCCGGTCTGGAGGGGATCGCTACAGACCAAAGGGGACCAATGCTTGCTTCAGAGGAGGACAGGCTGCGGTCCTACCCACCCTGGGATGAGCCTGGCTTCTGACTGCTGCTTTCAGCTAACAGAAAAGGAAAGCTAGCTGAGCACTCCACCGATCGCCTCTTTTCCATGCGCTGTCCACTCCCCTCCAACTGCGGGCTCTGACAGTGTGTTCAGAGAGCTGGCTTTGCCTGTGCAGTCACACAACTATAATGTCAGCAAGATCTAACAGACAGGGTTTGTGCCTATGAGTGCCCTTGCTCGGTCAATACAAACTACTCCAACCATTTGGCACAGCAGGGAAGATGCCACCTGGAAAGGCACTCATACCCTACAAGAGTGAGTGAGTTCGAATCCTGGCTGTGCTCCTAATTCCAGGCTTCTACTGATTTGCATCTTGCTGGGGAGGCAGTAGGGGATGACCCAAGTACTTAGGTCCCTGCCACCCATGTGGCACCCTGTGACTAAGTTCTAGCTCCTCACTTTCAGCTTGGTCCAGTTCCAGCTGTTGTGGTCATGTGGCAAGTGAACCAGCAGGCAGTAGATCTGTCTCTGATTGCCTCTAAGCTGTGGCCAATAGTAAGAGAGTTTACAAAAGCCTGAAATCCCAGGATTTCACCAGAAAAAAAGCATTTCTAGCCGTGTGTGTGTGTCAGACTCAGTGGTGGCACCACCATTACCACCAAGGGGAAGCTTGTGCAAACTCTGGGTTTGCACTGACAGCTACTCCTGGCTGAGGAAACACTGCATTGCACATCAGCCTCCCACCTCCCCAGCTCTCACATCCTCACCCCTGCTCTGATCCCAGGAGAGCAAAGACCTATGAGAAAGATGATGGCAAGGAAGGTTATGCCTTGGACTGGCCTCTGTTCAGAAAGGCAAACCCTTTGGAGCGGCTTTTAGATTCTTTTAAAGGGAAACTTACCTGTCCATCCCTGGCCGTTTTCTTTTGTCACATCTGCTTTATGGCGAAGCAGGACGCGAGCAGATTCCAGATGTCCCAAAGAGACGGCAAGATGCAGCAAAGTTCGACCTCGTGGGTCCAGAGCCTCCACATTCTGAAAAGGAAACACCGGCGTTGATATAACCAGGTGTACTGCACAAAAATGTGGCCCCGTGCTTCAGGAACACATGCAGTGTAAGCAAACAGAAAATGGGGGCCAGCACTGTGGTGCAAAGGACGAAAGCCGCTGGCAATGCCGGCATCCCATAGCATAATGATTGCTTGGGAAAGGCAGTGTGTGATGGTCCAGGTCCTTGGGCCGGTGCCAACCATGTGGGAGACCTGGACGAAATTCCTGGCACCTGGCTTCAGCCTGGTGTGGCCCCAGGTATTATCGACGCTTGGGGAGAAAAATCAGTGAAAAGACCTCATCTCTCCCTCACTGCCTCTGCCTTCCAAGTAAATAATTTTTTTTAAAGTTACATATTAATTACAGCAACATATGCAAAAAGATTCGTCTGCATGGGTGAATTATGAATCTGAGGACTAAAAATACAGATGACAGTTACTGAGTTCCTCTTTCTATAAAGTGAGCAATTGAATAAGCCTTGGTGCAAGGCCTCAGGTCATGCAACACAATCCTGAGCCCTTAATGACACTCAAACTGAGTCCAAATAAGGCCAGGGGCTTTCATGAAATGCCTTCACCCGCACACTCAGAACGTAGGGGATTTCTCAAGCCCGTATCAGCATTCAGGTCTAGAACAGGAAGTACAAAACAGTGATCAAAACTCAAAAGTACAGAAGTTAATTTGGGTCAGAATAAAACTACATTTTCTGGCTGAAATCCCACCAAGACATTGCTCATGTTGTGTGCAGAATTTTCAACGCTCTGAAGCAGCACACAGAACCCGGCACAATCTGCAGGTCCCATGGACAATGAACGTGATTGAGTGGGTACCCATGAGAATGTATGTTAGAGAAGGGAGCAGGTGTTGGGCAATGGGTTAAGCCACAGCCTACATTGCTGGCAATGGATCAGTCTCCCTCTTACTTCACCCTACCTCCTACTTTCTCTCTTACTCTGTCATTCTACCTTTCAAACAAATCAATAAATCTTTAAAAATACAAGGCAAGGCCCAGCGTGGTAACCTAGCGGCTAAAGTCCTCTCGCCTTGCATGCGCTAGGATTTCACATGGACACTGGTTCTAATCCCTGTGGCCCTGCCATCCATCTCCCTGCTTGTGACCTGGGAAAGCAGTCAAGGACAGCCCAAGCTTTAGGACCCTACACTCACGCGGGAGATTCAGAAGAGGCTCCAGGCTCCTGGCTTCAGATCAGCTCATCTCTGGCTGTTGTGGCTGCTTAGGGAGCAAATTAGCAGACGGAAGACATTCCTCTCTGTCTCTCCTCCTCTCTGACTTTCCAATAAAAATAAAATGAAATGAATCTTAAAAAAAAAAAATACAGGGCTGGCATTGGGGCATGATGGTGAAGCCACAGTCTGTAACACCAGCATTCCATATGAGCACCAGCTATTCCACTTCTAATCCAGTTCCATGTTAACGTATGTGGGAAAGCAGTGGAGAATGACCCAAGTCCTTGGGCCCCTTCCCGCACATGGGAGACCCAGATGAAGCTCCTGGCTTCAGCCTGGCCCAGTCCCAATAGTTGTGGCCATTCAGGAAATTCATTCAGTGGATGGGATATCTCTTTTATCTCTCCCCCCTTCATAACTCTGCCTTTCAAATACATACAGTAAATCTGAAAGTCGGAAAAAGAAAGGAAGGAAAGGAGAGGAGAAGAGAGGAAGAGAAAGGGAGAAAGGGAGGGAGACAGGATAAGTATCTTTTACCTGCACTGCTTGGGGCCAGAAGTGTTTCAGAGTTCATAGTTTCTTGGAATTTTTTTTTTTGAGTACTTGCCTAAACTTTCCCAGTTGAGCATCCCTAATCCAAAAATCCAGATTCTGTGAAACTGAAACTTTTGAATGCCAACATGACAGGTTTTGAAGTATGTTAGGTTTCAGAGTGTCTAATTAGGAATGCTCCACCTGTAATTGGTTTCTTAAAAACAAACAGGCTATGAACCTAAAAAAACACAAGCTTGTTTGGAGTTAAGCAGGAAAGAATCAGCCAAACTCATTATCCACCTGTTTACAGACGACATAAATGAAATATTTTCTTACCTGGCCACTGAAAAATGTTAGGATTGGCTCTCTGCCTGTCTGCTGGCCTCCCAGGAGGTGGTAAGGTTGATGACAGCAGAGGGCAAGCTGCTTAGAGCAGATCACACCTCAAACAGAACTGAGGGCTCAGAGTGAAGATCACTCAGGTGGCTGAGCATAAACCAAGCAAGCACCTTGTAAACCTCTGCTGTGTGGCACTCAGAGACACAGGTCCTACAGGGCAGAGAGCAGCGTGTGCTGGGTGGCGAAGCCTCACTCCTCAGTGTCTCCTGGACCTGTTTCCTTCCTCCTGCAGTAGAGCGTTGGCTAGGTTGGGGGAAACAATGTGGCCCTTTGGGAGGCAGCATGGGACACGGCTGTCCCATATCAGAATGCCTCAGCTCAGGTTTCAGCTCCGCTCCTGACTCCAGTTTCCTGCTCAGGTGAGAAGCAGCAGGTGGTGGCTGAATTGGGTCCCTGCCACTCACATGGGAGATTCACACTGCGTGCCCAGCTCTCGCTCCCAGCCCTGGCAAAGTCCGGGCTGGTCCAGGTATCTGGGAGTAAACTAGCTGGTGGTAGTTCTCTGTCTCTGTTTTTCTCTGTCAAATAAATGAATAAATAACTGAAAAAAAAAAAAAACAACTAAAAGGAAACAAAGATTAGGAGGGAAATATCTGAAGTAGAGAATAGAAAAACAGAAAGAAACATCAGTTATTATTTTCAAAATATAAGCAAAATACCACCACCAACAAAAGACCCAAGTCGAGGAAAATCAGAAATGAAAAAGGGAATAATAATACCAATTCTTCAGAAGTAAAAAAAGGATTATAAAAGAATATTAAAAACTGTATGCCAACACAAATTAGAAAATTTAGGTTAAAAAAGACATAAGCTAGAAAAAATAACTTAAGAAATAGAATATCTGGATACATTTATAAAAACCAAAGAGAATGAATCAATAAGTTAAAAACTCCCCACCAAGAAAAAAAAAAATGTACTGACAGCTTTACCATGAATTCTAGCAAACATTTAAGCATTTAAGGAGTTGATAACAATCTTTCATGATCTCTTCCAAGACAGAAAACAAAGGAAAGTTTTCCATCTCACTTTAAGAACCCAATATTAAAAAAAAAAAAAACCAATATTAAGAAAAAGGAGAACCTGTATTATCCTGAGGACAAATGCATCACAAGAAAAGAAAACCACTGACTAGACTCTCTTAGCAATATGGACACAAAAACTCTCAATAACATACAAGGAAACCAAACCCAACAACCTGTAAGAAGGGTTAGTGCATGATGTGAGCAAGTCTGATTTATCCTGTGAGTACAGAATGGCTTAACATCTGACAATGAACGTTCTATGTCATATCCATACAATAAAACACAAGGTCTTATCAGCAGATACAGAAAAGCTAATTGGCAAACTCCAACAGCAGTTCTTCAAAGAGTATCTGTGAAAACGCCACAGCTAACATCACCCTTGGTCACATTCCTCCCAAGATAAGGAACAAGGCAAGGAGGAGGTCCTCTCTCCCCACCTCTACACACACTGCACACATCTAACCTGGGCGACGGGGCAAGAAGCAAGGAGCAGCCAGAGCACAGGGGAACAAGTCCCTGGCTGTAAAACCCCCTGGCTGCACTGAAGATAGAACTTCGTTTGCAGAAAATCCTAAGGAGTCCACCAAAAATTAAAAAACAAAACAAAACAAAAAAAACACCTATTTGAATAAATGAATTCAGCAAAACTGCAGGAAACACAACCAATAGGTTAAAAAAAATCAATTGTATTTCTATATATTTGTAACAAATAAACTAGAATTTAGAATTCCCTGATATTGGGCACAGTGATTAAGACACTGCCTGGAATCCCCACATCCCGTATCAAGGTACCTGCCTTCAAGCCCCAGCTGCTCAGCTCCCAACTCCTGCTTCCTGCCAACAGGAAACAACCTGGCAGGCAGCAGCTGATGACTCATTGTTGGCCACCCACATGGGAGACGCACACAGGCTCCTGGACTCAGCCTGGCACAGTCCTCGCTGTTGGAGCATTTTCAGGAGACAACCAAGGACATGGAAGATCTCCATCTGTTTGTCTCTGCCTTTCAAACTATAAATAAAATTTAATTTTAAAAATTATATTTATTGGGCCCGGTACAGTAGCCTAGTGGCTAAAGTCCTTGCCTTACACATGCCAATATCCCATATGGGCACCGGTTCTAATCCCTGTGGCCCCACTTCCCATCTGGTTCCCTGCTTGTGACCTGGGAAAGCAGTCAAGGACAGCCCAAAGACATGGGACCCTGCACCCGCGTGGGAGACCTGGAAGAGGCTCCTGGTTCTGGATCGGTGCAGCTCCAGCCGTTGTGGCTGCTTGGGGAGTGAATCATAGGACGGACGAACTTCCTCTCTGTCTCTCCTCCTCTCTGTATATCTTTCTAATAAAAATAAAATAAATCATTAAAAAAAATTACACACTTATGGTGGCCTGACATAAGTGTGCTCAGTTAGCTAATCCTCCTCCTTCAAGCAATCCTCCTCCTTCAAGCAAAGGGATCCCACATGGCTGCCAGTTCATGTCCTGGCTGTTGCATTTCCCATCCAGCTCCCTGCATGTGGCCTGGCAAAGCAGCAGACAGTCCAAAACCTTGGGATCCTACCCCAAACGGGAGACCCAGAAGAAGCTCCTGGCTCCTAGCTTTGGATCAGCTCACTCCAGCCATTGTGGCAATTTGGGAAGTGAACCAGAAGATGGAAGGTTTTTCTGTCTGTCCTTCTGTCTGTAGATTTGCCCTTCCAATAAAAATGAATAAATCTGTAAAAAAAAAAATACATTTATGGGATCAAAAAGGGTAAAACATCTAGGAATACTTTACAAGTGAAAATACAAAGGTTTCTCTGAAAAGTATAAAGCAATGTTGAAAGAAGTGAAAGGCAATTGAA